AGCTCACAGCATATCATTTCGTATTAGCTCCACGATATCACTTACATGATCAACTCCGTAATTACATAAACATACCTAGAGATTGAACAAATAACTCGGGATTAACACCTTACATTCATAAACCTATGACTGACAGCCAGTTTGAGCAGTCAAAACGACTGTTTGAATCATGCTTTTCTGTCGCTTTTACGCGGAAATCGCACTGACATCGCACCGAACTCGTAAATTAACATCGCAGTTGTATCGCGGACATATTCATGTTTGTGTACGGCATGAAAATAAAACACCACAGGCGTTAAGATTGCCGAAAAGAGTGATTTTGCGGAGCACCCCGAAGAGATGTTTCACGCTTGAGTGTCATTTGCATACTGAAAAGTGGCGGCCATCTTTCCTTTTATACACCCAGACCCGCGGTTTAAACAATATTCAATTCCTGACAGTTTTGAAAGGAATAAACTTTACCTTATCCAAATTTGGGATATCTAGGAAACAATCGGGTAAGCTGCTTGTTCCTACGTTATTAACCAACGTTCCGATCTCCAACCCATCCAATCCTTCTTTAATCTCCTGATATATTTCAACTCCTTGAAAAAAATTCACAGCAATCACCTTCGTCTTGACTTTGTACTCTGATTCTGAGAACACCAATTAAACAAAGCTGATAATGTAAAATGCCAGTCATCCCACAGAGTTACATTTCATATGGGTTTCATACGATTCATACAACATTTGGAAAATATTATAATACTTGTTTACACAATATTTCAGTGTTTCATATAGTGGTATGAAGTGAGCACAAACAACAGTACATCCTTCATTTACATCAACACATGTGTTACAAAATAATACAAATATTGTTTTCATTATTTAAACAATAATGAATTTCTCACAATGCCATATTGTATGTGTGAAGAAAGTCAAACACATTATCGCATCTAGATCATTCTTCAATTCCAATATGGGGCTGTGAGGAATTCATTATTGTTATTATAAATCATCACCATCAGAATTTTAAACAAATTCACATTTAAATTTGGGGGTTTTTTGGTTGAAATAATTTACTTACAAAGAGAGATTCACATTATTGCAAGATAATGTAAAGCTATGTCTTTTAATTTTGATAATGATTTATGAAATTGATCATTGTACTCGTACCTATTTCCATGGCAACACTCTGTAACTTGGTCAATGTTCTGCTGATTAAAACAATATTGATACCCTTAGCAGCCAGCTGTAAACAAGAAATATACGGTATACATCATAAAATTAAAATAATAGGGAAACATGTGCTCAATGCAAATAATGTACATTTCTGTACAGATGTAGTCTTCACAATATAGTTTCACAACTACCGCACATAACTTTTGAACACCAAAGTAGCATGTAATTTACTAGTGCGATAGATTTCTGGCACTAGCTTTAAAAACTGGAACATCACCACATGGAAGATATTGTTATTTTTGGCTGTATAAACCATTATACAGTTTATAACGCAGTGACACTATATGTAGTATTTGCGTTTTTTGTTGTACAAACATTAAAAAAATGTTCCACACATGTGAAACATGTTTTCTATTTTATTTTATTTTTTTATTACAATTTAATATGTTTTCACACCACAAAGTCTATTGTCTAGTATATATAACACATTATCGACATTTTGCTTAGGACCCCCCATAAGTTCATCTTGTACCTCAATCCCCCAAGGTTTGCTCCACAAACCTGGATTTCAATAGATGGCACCCTCCAGAGACTAGGGTTATAGCCAGGAAATATAGTGACTGTCTAAAATCTTTATCGATATGAAAAATAGCAGTCCCTTGTCTGTGACCATACATAGACTTACAATTAATTTCAAACCTCTTACAAGTGATTTAAAGAACAACATTGGTATATAGTCCCTCTATAGACTATGGAGGGACTGTGATAGCGTACATGCTTTCATTGTCTACATTTCAGTGGTGGTTATTACAAATTGAGGTTTATGACAAGGAAATGTTATATTAAATGTTAAAAATCAGGGAAAAGATGGATAGTTACAGATACAGTTGCTTTAAACAGAACAACATACCTGTTTTGCGTATGCTTTACCAATTCCATCTGTAGCGCCTGTCACAACTAGAGAATAAAAATACAGACTTGTTTGTCAATAAATAAAGAAATAAATGAATAATGTCTCACTTCAAAGACAATAAACAAACAAAAATAAACATTAATAAATGAAATAATTAGATTTTTTAGTTCAGACTATTCCAGGGACACTTATCATACAATTTGTCTGTTCATGTGCTTGACATTGCATTAAAGAACCAGTTTATATTCCTTCTTTAAAAAAAACCAGCAATATCATATACCGATAGTCACAAAACTAAAAACAAGATTATTATAGTTTCACCTCAATACGTACATGTAGTATTTTTAAATTTAATAACCCTGGGAACTTCAAGAACTTTTTGTGCAAAAAATATTTCAGGGAAAAAATTTTTAGCTCAGCAACTAATTTCCCCCCAAGCTACAGATTGAGGGAGTACGACGCCAACGGCCAATAATGGACATACCACTAATAATAATATCACTAATCTATATCTACGACACACTGAGCTAGGTAACTGAGCGGATAGAAAAGCTGTACGCATATTGAACTGAGTTGCTATCATATGATTCAGACATCTTTCACGGTCACAATTAAAAGAACTTTCTGTAGTGGGCAACAGCGTTCCGTCTCTTACCTGCCCACTGTCCAAGTTTTCTCAGATCTGTGGCCAATCCAAGCGGACCGGATAGGAAATAGACCTTGATACTACGGAGAATATTCGATAGCAAATTGAATGAAATATATCCCACGGTGACCGCCCCGATAACTCTCAGGATCGTGTTATAGATAGGCTCCATCATTGCAATACCAACTATAGTACAAGGCAGGATAATTTCACGGATTTAGTAACTAAGTTGGCGTAACCTTCGGTCTTACCGGGTCTTTATCGAGCATGCTCAAAGCTGGGAGCAAACGCCCTCTGTGTAATGAGTGATATTAAATATCAGGGTATAAATAGAGGGCGCTATCAAAAGCAGATATAAAGAGTCGACACGAACGCGCATACTCCACGTACACGCACAAAACAGATACATTTTATTTACTCAAAACAAAGAATAATTAAAACCATACACAAGCCATATCTGCATCAATGGTCCACCATAAATGAGTAAATTCGATCCCACACATACTACTACTACTACTAATAATAATAATAATAATCTTTATTCATAATCGCATCCTTAATTTTGATATTGTTCGTAGTACAATAAAGTTAAATGTTGAAAGTTAAAATGAAATTAAAAAAAAATAAGAGAAAAAAAAATAGGCAGAGGCAGCTTGTAATTTTGATTTTAATGAAGTTTTCTCTAATTAAGAAGCCTTGCTACACAAATTTGCCTAAATTAATTAACATATTTTTGTCTTTTGTTTTAAGTATATTTATTTGTTTTTCTTCTTTGTTTTGATTGGTCGGTGTTGCAAGAAATTTGTTTAGGCAGTCTTTTTTTAATGCATCATAGTGTGAACACATTAGGAGGAAATGTTTTTCATCCTCAATCTCTCCATTCTGGCATGTTCGACATTTTCTTTCTTGTACTAGTAATTAGTTCACAACAAAAGTGGTGTCACAATCGACAACCACACAGCAAATTGTTTGTTAATTGAAAGATCCCAATGCCCCTAACAACCGTTTACAATGCTGTACCATTACTTTCACCATCCTACTACAGCCAGATCTGAAGGCCTTTGCCGCATTCTGGCCACGCTGTGTGGCGCGGATCGCGTGGACGGGTTTCATGTTCTCTGCACGTAATAAGCTCGGTTATTAAGCAAACATTTTGCAATGCACATTCCCAGGTGTGAGCTTAATCTTACAGACCAAAAGCATGATGAACTCTGGTGTACGTTATATAGTAATAACAAAATACTTTTTCAATCTCAAAACTATATACATTTAAGGATAATTAACTCCTAGTAAACATTTTCTACATTTTTATAGCTTCAAGAATTGCGCATATGATGATCACTGGCGGCTCCAAAAATTCGGTAGGGGGGGGCCTCCTATTGACGTGGCCGAAGGAGACCTCCGGTGGGTTGGGTTTGTGAATTGATTTGTCAATTTCTTTTGCGGGCTGAAGGGGGGTACGCCTCCCTCTAAATCTTTGCGTGATGATACAGGACTTGAGTAATCTGATAGAAGGATAGTCAACAATCTTGAGTAGACTAAGTGATGTGCAAAACCTCCAAGTAATGTTTCTGCTTCCACCAACCCAAGATCTTGTTCAAAATACCTAATTTTAACGTTTGTTTTTCACACCTAAAACAATCAGCAGTCGTCTGTCTTTGTTCAGATAACAACAATATTTATGTGTGTGCCATGGGAAGTCTACGTATAAAGTTTGAAGTGAAATTCTCAAAGATATACACGTCTGTCTGTAATACATTTTTTCAAAAGCAAAATGGCTGTCAATCGGCCTTCTGGGGTTAAATTTACAAATCAAAGTAATGTGTATCAACTACCCATAATATTAAATTCTTCCACTAAGTTTGAATTGAATTGGATAACACATGGTTTGATATCTTGTTCCAGTCAAAATATCTGATTTTACTGTTTGTTTTTTTAACAATTAAAATTGTCAGCAGTCAGGCATCTTTGATCAGAGGTTTGCATGCACGCACACTAAACCATGAGCCAAATTAATGCTAAACATTGTATTGTAACAGGCTTTGTTAAATTCAAGTTGTGAAATGAAATTATAAAAATATGCACATAAACCATGTACCTAATGTATATTTTGTATATTAAAAAGTGATGATGGCAGACTACCCCCCCCCCCCTCTAATAGACAGTGCGAAATGCCAACACTATCCACAAACGGAAGTCGGTGCAAACTTTGACAAAATTGTTTGTTACATGAATCTCAGGGCAGTGAGCGATACGACATAGCAATGAAAGCTCACTAAAGCTAAAGTCTCCAGCTTGTTTAGTGGTTTTGAGTCAAATGACAGCGAAGTAAATATATTCAGGTTCCATGTATGTAAGGTAGGTTCTGATGTGATGGAACTTTTGTATTGGTGAGCAACAAATATATAGGATTACATGTTAATCCCCATTGAACACCTCGATTAAATGTTTTATACTTTATTAAACATAGCAAAACTATTGAAACCTTGCCTGCAAGGGAATAGTTTATACAACTGGTTAAGTTGAGACCAAAAATTGGCTAAATTCTTGAAATAGTGAATTTTTATAACATAATTTTCATTTCTTTCTACCAAATATCACTCTAAGTTATACATTTGGTGAACGGGTGACTGTAATTGGTGGATTCATAAAAATTACTATTTATTTCTATCAACTGATAAAATAACATGTAGGCCAGCCTTGTTCTTTTAAAACTTTTTCCATATCAATAAGTGTTACGCTATCATCATTGAATTTATACCAGTTATTATCAGATACTTTAATACAGGCATAGTAATGTAATGGATTAGACTGATGTACTATTACACCATATAACTTGTATGAAGTATTACTATAGTAACTGTTTATGTCTCTATTTTATTCTCCAAATTTGAAAAAAAAAACATTTCAACTGTATAACAAGGTAAGGTGGTAATAATTGACTAGTCACATTTATTACAATGTCATGATCTTTGTTGCAACGACTACACAAATATTCATGTATTGTTTCTTCACTAAAATAATCATTAAGGCAATTTGAAATAGAAACTGGTTCATTATTACTAGAATATGTGATAGGAAGTTGTGAAACAGTAAATGGTTCAAGTCTAACATTCTGATATGCACAGTGTTTTGATTTATATTTATTATTATAGATACCCATGAATATATTTTGTAAAATATGTACTGGCATATTATTACTGTTTACGTCATATTGTTCTAATATATCAAATATAAGCACAAGAAACGCATGGGCATCATTTTCCACAATTAATAATTTAATGAATAATTCTGTACTTTCAATGCATTTCTGTAACCATGCTGCACTATTAAAACTGTTGTCACCCAAATACATCTGGATTATAAATGATTCCCATTCACATAACAAACAAGATGGTGTTTTATTTATTTTGCATTGATGGATTTGGTAAGAATGTAGCTTGCAAATGCTGGAATATGTATTAATACATGTATAATAACATTTTGATAACAAGGTTTATGTAAACCAGCACCAGGGAGTCCATATAACATCTAATCAATCAATACTCACAATATTCTTTTGATACAGGTGAAACTGATTTAGTAATTGCATTACATTTGAAGATATTTCACTTTACGATTTTGTTTGCGTTTTAGTCTAAAACTCTTTTCTTAGGTTGAGGCATTCTATATAATAATAATATTGGAATGACACTTATATAATTGTGCAAAGTTAACTTAATAGTCTGGATATTAGCAAATACAGCTCAGTTAACAACTACTATATATGCTAACTTATAGTATAATTATCTTATGTGACTTAATAGGATATAACTGATTGTACAGTAATAACTTTAGAAAACTTATTGCACTGAAGAATACTGAATATGCTTTATAGCAACTTATAGTATAATTATCTTATGTGAACTCCGGGACATAACTTAATAGTGTACATGTACAGTATCAACTTTACAAAACTCATTGCACATAGTTTGTAACTCACTGAACAATGAGGACTAGTACTGAGTACAACTGCTTACAGTAGAATACTATCTTATAATGTTCAACCACAGTCCCTCATGACTGTAGTTTAACAAACTAAAAGAATGTGTTGTACTGGTGACAGTACAAAGCTCTAGCAATTGTTGACAACTGAGCTTGAATATAAACCTTGACCAGATCTAATTACCATACAATGACTTCTCACAAAGATCAAACAAAAGCATTTTCTATAATGAACTTAAGATGGCACTGGTTCCAATAAGATGAAAATGTATACATAATCACAACAATGGAAAATTCCAAAGCATTTCAAAACAACTATTACACCATGGATTTTCTCGTTTAATCCTGATACTGACTAGGAACATAAAATGTAATGTAAAAAATAAAATTCAATGCACACACAGAATTAAAACCATACAGTCAACAACTTATGGCAAGTCCGTATTCATCATCATTTTGAAGCAAGTACTAGTAGTTTTGGTACCAGATTGCAGCTTGGATTCGGACTTGCATTTACTGTTTTCACGACTAACATCTACTACTAAAATCATTCACTACTCTTTTATTAGTAATATTATAAAAAAACAATATCAATCAAATTACAATATATAATTTCACTATTAGGTAACAAACATAAAACACCAAGTACATAAGACGACTATGGAAGTATCCCCGAGACCAATGTTTGGAAATCAGATTTTGTTTTCTAAAGGCATGATCACTCCATCTTGGAGTGTCTCATTGTTTGTAGATAAATTTCACGACTCTTCTTAACAGTTGGCATTCTGTAAGCCATGAACAGCCATGGTGAGAACTCCTTAAACCAACCCTACAAGAACAATTAGGACATTTTGATATTTTCTGCATCTTATATACACACATTTCCTCTATAGAGGGCGTGATACACCATAAACTCATGACACCATAAAATATATCACAGTACATGTAGATGCATACCACGAAAACACCATGACACAATACCATCGTCTTGATATTTGTTGTGATGCTGAAAATACATCACACATTTCAAAAATGCCAGTTCACTGTAATAATAAGATAGTTCCAATCACTGCTAACAAGAACATTGACATTACTAGTCCAATGACTTTATCATTGAAACCAAAATAAGTGCGTGTTTTGATGTTGATAATTTCTATATATTTATTGATCTATGTAATTTGTTCCAATTTAATGAGTAATTCTGAGTAATGTGTTTATAGATGTTATAATTATTCTGCTTCAGTTTATATAGAAATTAATCGAAAACATTCCATCATTCCTTTTTGGCTGATATTCCATTATTAGTTTAGTACACATCCACTTCTGTCTGCATGGGAAAACGCCTTAATGTTTGATTCCCCTTTTAAAGTTTAACGGTAGTTCTATTCTAGTTCAGCCCGTGCTCAACTGTGGGTTAGTTAATTCATCTGTTTATTGAATGTTTAAGTTTATGACATTCTATAAGTCTCTGTAACTACTAGAAGTTTACACTTGTAAATTTGTTGAACAAGTGATTCGTGAGTTTTCAAGTTTAAGTTGTTCTGTTGAAGTCCTATCTCAAGTTGGAATGTGGCCAACCAAACCCAACCACAGACTAGGCTATAATGCAGTCATATAGTTAGTTTATTTTCTGGTTTATACCTGTAGCATATAGGAAATTATGTTTGTTTGAAAATACATCAACAAATGACCTGATGGTCGAAATAGCTCCGCTGTTCTACAAGAACATTGTGATTGCCAAGATGAGCAATGCACACCAATAAGACAAAATGTGGTTAACCCACAACAATGTACTGTAAAATGACTAATTTTCGCTGGGTTTAAATTTCGCTGAATAAATTCAATGACAATTGCTTGGTGGTTTTAAGTCAAAATGACAGTGAAGTAAATATATTCAGGTTCTGATGTGTTACATTGTTACCATTTCAGGCATACATGTATTCAGTGGGTTTTAAATTCACGATTTTATCATTTAGATAATGTGTTCTATGCTCAATTTTACATATACACTGGGTTTTACTTTAGCGCATTTTCCAGTCGGCGAAATAAGCAAAAACCCAGTGAATAATTAAGCCCTTTACAGTAGTTTGGTTCTGGCTGATGAAAACATGTCAATTTAACTTCACCCAAGGTATCTATAGATCAAGTATAAAAGCAATTGAGCTGGTAGTTCTCAAAAAGTTGAAAATAGCCTTTTTTAACAAAAATATTCACGAAAAAAAAAATGAAAAAAAAAGTATCAAAGCAAAAAGTATTGAGCTGGTAGTTTTCAAGGGGAATTTGAAAATAGAATAGTAGACTGTCAGACAATCACCTATATGAACTGCTCTGTCATCTGTGATGGATGCTAAACACTTTCTACATAGAAACCTAAATGTTGAGCCAGCTTTCTCAATCACAATTACAAGAGCTCTTAATTATGTAGTGGTCTCAATACAAGATTGAAATGGACAATTTTTCTTTCACTACGAGATCCTGTCTTATGCGTGAAGTCGAACACAAAAACTGGAAGGTCATAGCATTGTAGCAATGATTACATTGCATAGAATTCCACTTATTTTCACCTTAAGAATGTGGCATATACACATTTGATCAGGCAAAATAAAGGTATTCTAACAACGCGGCGTCTTCTGCAGATTGTTATTTTGACATTGAACTATAAAAAAAATTCAAGCTCTAAATCAAATGATCAGATTTTTGTGGCAGATGTTCAGTCCGTCCCATTCGCACATAACACAAGATCACTTGGAAGTACTTAAAATCATCTATTAGTACACACTTGTGATATAGAAGTGTTAAATTTTATGCCGCCATTCTAGTGGTTGCTATAAATATTATGGCTATGTTTTTTCTTGATTTGAGTTTGTAGCCAACCAAGCTGTCAATATAGAATATGGAATGAAATATTCTATTACTGAATTGGATGTAATTTTAAATTGTAGCCATAGAAAACAAACATTCAATGTTCTTTCTTTCATACCAAATATGGTATAATCTCATCAAATCATTTCTATTCACACCTTGAATTGTTGTCTTTTTATTAGCTCCACTGTCGACTTTGTCGAGCGGAGCTTATCATAGGAGTGATTGTCCGTCGTCGTTCGTGTCAATGTTTTACTTTTTCGACTTCTTCTTGAAAACTACAAGCCTGAATGCTTTGATACTTGGTGTATATGTACCTTGGGTAGACCTCTCTCAGATTTGTTCATTTCATGATGATACAGTGTATCTTCAATTCTCTAATTTTGGTGAATATTTTTGTCATTTTTGGTAAAAAGTGATATTTTCGACTTCTTGTTAAAAATCAATAGTCCAATTGCTTTGATATTACATATATAGGTACTACATGTGGATCTCTCTCAGATTTGTTGATTTTGTAATGATATCTTCAATTCTCTAATTTTGGTGAATATTTTTGTAATTTTTGGTAAAAAGTGATATTTTCGACTTCTTGTTAAAAATCAATAGTTCAATTGCTTTGATATTACATATATAGATACTACATGTAGACCTTTCTTAGATTTGTTCATTTTGTGATGATGTCTTCAATTCTCTAATTTTGATGAATATTTTTGTCATTTTTGGTAAAAAGTGATATTTTCGACTTCTTGTTAAAAACTATAGTCCAATTGCTTTGATACTATACATCTTGTTCATTTTCTAATGATGTCTTCAGTTCTTTAATTGAAATGTGCATAGCTAACAGCGGAGCTATATCAGCCGATAGGCTGCTTGTTTTAATTACACAACCACCATTACACATTAATTAAGATTTCACATCACTAAACAAAAATACAACATTAATTAATGTCAATCAGCTTCTGTATTTTATCTGAAAGAAAGCAGTCTTCGAGAACCAAGTTTATTATCATTTCTATAACTACTTGCATATGCCACTGTTTGGACCCACTAAGAGATAATTCACAATATTCAATATACAACATGCGTTTATTCTATGATCAAATGACATTTAAACTTCCTCAGTTGACACATTTCCTTCCCTCTACAGTAAGATGTTTTGCTGGTGAGAGATTGCGAAAAAGGGGAAAGATAATCAATCATTCTAAAACTAGAGTTGTGCATGCCATTTTTGTTTACTGTGTTTAAAGCTACCGGTAACGAAGAACTCAAGTTTGTTACAATCAAATGTCTACGTCTTATAGGCCAACTGTTTTTGTAAAACAAATTGATTGCACATACTCTCATGAGAATTGTACAATAAATTCTGAAAAACATCATACAACAACGACACTTAAAATGTATCACTAGATATACCCAAACTCAAAATTATCATTATAAAATTATGATTTTAACAAATTAAATTTAAGCTTGAATACAAAAATGTTGCATAGTGAAGAGTTAAATATTCAAAACGATTTACAAAAAACTCATTTTAATCCATGGTAATTTCATAAATGTATTACTGAAAAAAAAAATACGAGTGTATCTGTATTTCTAGTTGTGAAATTGATCTTGTCAATGAAAGATGCAAAAGATTAAAGCAGATACACATTGATTATGAAATAAAGGCAATCACAATTATACTGTAAAAATCTTCATCATATATTTTGAGCGAAATCAGCAATCTAATATCTGTTTAATCAGAAAAAATTACAGAACAATGCATTAAAATTTTCATTGGGAAAGTATGTGGTGATGAGATAAATTAAAAATCTTTCATTTCTCATATCACTCTGATACTCATTGTTCCTTTTTCTTTGCTTCTCTTTGCATTTTCTTGTAATGTAGTGCCCTTACATTTCGAAACATGGTGCCCTGTACAAGGTAGTATAACCACTCGGGGGCCAACTCGTTAATATAACCCTGTTGGAGGGTGAAGAGAGGAAAACTTATAGAATGTAACTCTTTAGTTCACTAGTGAGCTCTGAACTAGATCACTGCAAGCAAAATACAATTTTATGCAGTGTAGCATAAATGAAGGACAAATGACATGATCTAATGTTGGTTTTTGGTGTGTGTTTTTTTTGGATGACATAGTCAAATGTTGTTTTTGGTGATTTTTTTTGGGATGACATAGTCAAATGTTGTTTTTGGTGTTTTTTTTTTTTTTAGATGACAGTCAAATGTTCTTTTTGGTGTGTTTTTTTGGATGACATAGTCAAATGTTGTTTTTGGTGTTTTGTTTTTTTTAGATGACATAGTCAAATGTTCTTTTTGATGTGTTTTTTTGGATGACATAGTCAAATGTTGTTTTTGGTGTTTTTTTTTTTTTTTGGATGACATAGTCAAATGTTGTTTTTGGTGTTTTTTTTTTTTTTTGGATGACATGGTCTAATGTTGGTTTTTGGCGTTTTCCTTTTGGAATGCATAGTCAAATGTTGTTTTTGGTGTTTTTTTTTTTTAGATGACATAGTCAAATGTTCTTTTTGGTGTGTTTTTTTGGATGACATAGTCAAATGTTGTTTTTGGTGTGTTTTTTTTGGAGGACATGGTCTAATGTTGGTTTTTGGCATTTTCCTTTTGGAATGCATAGTCAAATGTTGTTTTTGGTGTGTTTTTTGGATGACATGGTCAAATGGTGTTTTTTTGTATGCAATCTGTCACCAGTTGGCCATTTTGAATTAATTTACAAAATAAGTAAACTGAAGCACATCAAGCCACCTACCATGTTCATACTTGAAAGTGCGAACATTTAAAAATTTATAAACATTATCAAAATCTTTTACACAATAATAATACAGCAATTTAAATTTTTTTTACAATTTTTGAAACTTTATTTTGAACAGATTTTATTTCCTGATTTATATCAAAACTTACAACAAAATTTATGCATGTATGTTATGAATAATGACAACATGGAAATAAAGAATGCAAATGATTTAATGCAGTATTTCAAACAAGTAAAAGAGCATATATTATCAACAAATCATTCAAATTATCACAAGAGAGTTAGGAAAGATCAGAAAGTTTGAGTCAATTTTCAGTTTTTACTCAAAATATTGTGGCTATTTTTGTCCCAATCTTCTGAAAGAAAGTGTAGACTATAAACAGGACTATTTTGTAAATTTGTGATGAAAAAAGAGAACTGGTGATAAAAAGGTTAAAGGCTTCCAAAAAAAAAAAAATACAGGACATAACACAGCTTTAGAGAGTTGAAGTGATTGTTTTTGACATGTTGTCACCATGCCAGCCCTTAAGCTTTTTTTCCTTGTATAAATTCCTTACCTGAATGGAATGACTCAAGCAACCATTAGTTCTCTGTTCTAACCCGACTGTACCTAATGCACTTCGCACATACTGGGTAGGGTTAGGGGTGAAGAGACTTGTATGACGAATCCTGCTCAACTTGGTTGTCACAAAAAATGGCAACACAGACTGCAATGTAAACAAAAATATATAATTATATATATATCCAAGAATATAAACATAGTGAAGAAGGTGTAACAGTTATTATATATCAGGTCTATTTCTCTGTATTTTTATTAAGAATATACAGGTAATAATTTCCGTTATTATAAAGCTAGCAGTGCAAACCATCCCATGAACACATGCGAATGTGTTCAAATGTGTTACTAAGTGCCTTCCACATTTGAATTTGTTTTCATCCAATATACCAAAATAGTAGCATGTGATGGAAATTGAACACAAAGCTACGTGCCTAGTCACCATATATACTTAACACTACAATAGGATTATATGAAATTTTGACATAAAAAGGTAGACAACACTGTACTAAGCCAATGCATACAAAAAAGAGAGCACATAAATCTACTATTATAAATGGAAGACTGTGATATAACACTAGTACCAAATATGGAATATACATAACCAAATAAGGAATATGTATAACCAAACATGGAATATATATATATAACCAAATGTAGAATATGAATAAAACCAAGTATGGAATATATATAACCAAATATGGAATATATATAACCAAATATGGAATATACATAACCAAACCTGGAATATATATAACCAAAGGTACATTACTTAGGGTTTGCAACTTCCATAGTTCTGTATAGTGACATAATGTCAAGATCCCATTCAAGTCTCATCTCGTAGATAGCGAGACTGATGCTACAACCTGACATATCAATGTTCAAGGTTTTTAATAAAACACGTCTTACAACTACCATAGGGAAAACATGTAATACATCAAAAATGTACAGAAAATATAGTTATTATAATCCATCATATCGTGAGCAGCTATCTTGGGCATGCGCATTCGCGTTGTTCTGAGTTGGGAACGCTTATGCGAGAGTGAGAGTGAAACAGGATTTTGGTATCATGTCACGCTACTTGCAAACCACAAGTAATGTACCCCTAATATAACCAAATATGGAATATTTATAATGGAGTATGTAATATATACATGCACACGCACACACTTATACATACAATGCTATGTCCTTACCTGAACAATTATCCCCTTAGAAGCATACTCTATTTGTAATGCTCTGGCAAAGAAGTCCATGTAAACCTATAAACAAAGATTTATGAGATTGCCATTATTGTTTATTACATATGTATATCAAATAGAAAGATTAGGGGGCTTTCACTGCACTGTGCACAGTGTTCAACTGCTACTTACATACCTTAGTTGCAGCATAGAGAGTAGTGAGTGGTCCTGGAAGCATACCCGAAGCAGAGGAAATATTAATAACAGCTCCTTTACGCCTAAAAATAACCAAACTCATTTATATTATACATGAATGTACACTATGAAATACACAATGTAAATCACAGAGACACATAATAGATTCAGCAAAAACAGTTTTTAGTCCCCCCCCCCCACCTCCAATTTGTTCATTGAATTATCTTTCAGACAAATTAATGCATATGCTAACTTATGTACCAATGCGAATTAAACAGAATTCAATAATAAAATAAACAACTCTTTTTAAACATTAATGAATGTATTTTCTAATAATCTGATTTATGTTCGTCGTTATTAGTCTTATTTCCCAGTAATTTTTTAACATGTGTCAGACATGTGTTTTCAATAGGTCATGTCCTCCAGTGTTTTAAGTAATGCTTTCTTTTATTGCATTCGGTTGTGCAATTATTCATTGTCGGAATACTGTATATCATCTATTAGAGGCACACTTCTAATAGAAGCACATAGAAATATGACCTATTTTGACCATAGACACACCGCTGGCATTCACGTCTAAAGCACATGTGCTACTAATAGGAGAAATATGGTTATAACCAATCATTTTTTATTTCCAATTACAATTGCAGCAGCACTTTATCCATAAAGAACACATATTACACCACAACCATGTAATTTATCAGTAACATATGTCAATTTCAATGTTATGAACAATGACGTAAAAAAATATCAATCAATCCAACTATACATTGAATCAGAAATGTAAGATAAAAAAAAACAAAAACAAGACTAGCGATGAAGTAGCAGATTTGTCAGTGACATGGAGTTATTGCATCACTTTATGTTTAGGTGCAACACTCACCTTTCAACCATCCCTGGTAACACAACCTTTGTCATCTAAAGAACAAAAAATCATTTCTGAATCAGAGAAGATGGATCTATGACAATTTCTAATCATCACTCGAATGTGGGTTAAAAAAAAATATACCGTGAACTGAATTCACAGAAAGAATCAGTTACTTTTGCAATAATATCTTGCAGCAATGTTTCAAGAGTTTACAGTCTGTTTCTTTCATACATGAAGGTATTAAAATACTTTGGAGGTACATGTTTTCATAAATCAATGAGCCAAATTTAACTGAATCACTCAAAGAAAAAGTATGTACATTTGTATATTAGCAATTAAAAAATAAAATGTGCATTCACATCAAATCATCATACACTGTCGGATGATTTAATTTTGAGAAGACAAACTTTTCCCAATGAAAATTTTACTGGGGTCCTAAGGAGTCAAATGGACTTTCACTAGAGATCTAAGTAGACACAGTGACTTCCACTAAAGGCCGAAAGAGTCTAAGAAAGTTGTTTTTCCACGAATGTCATTAAATCATAATCTAGCAGCAATAGTGAAAACTAAACAATTTATACAGCAAGTGTACTGTACCAAATTCTGCTTCTTGAATAATATAATGTTATACAATAGATAAGCAAGTATTGAGTTTCATTGTTACCTTAAAAAGTTGTGCACTCTCGAGTAAAAATGTTACAATTTTATTTGCACAAAGCCATGATTTTGCCATGATCAGGAACCAGAAAAACCAATGTATAAATTCAACAAGGTAGAATCTCCCCGATACCACTATTTAAATTATATTCAAAACTTATCTACTGCTCTAAGCTATATAGTATACTTACCATTGTGCAAGCCAATGTATTACAGTTTATTATATCAGGAATAAACTATATTTAAAAAAAGAACAATAAATTAGTCAAAATAAGGAATAATTATACTCCAAATACACAAATTTGAAAAAAGCACAAAATGTTTTAGCAATGAACTTGCAACTGAGGTTTGTAAGATGACATTTTTGTTGGCCTTAAATTAACAGATTTGAATATTACAGCCATGTATGTTCACTGAATTACACTTTACCAAATTTTACTCTATCAGAAGAGCATTTTATTCTTAAGCTCAATTTTTGTCTTAATTCTAAACTTGAAATTTTATTAAAATCTTGAAAAAACTTTTCCCATGCAAAAAATTGAATTGATTGAAAAAGTAATTGAAATTCAATCTTGTCAATTTCCAACTTTATGACTGAAACATGAACAGATACACAAAAAGTTAAATTGCAAATTGTCCTTTGTCAGCATCCTTTATCCTATATTTTTGTCATATTACCTCAAACCCTGAAAACAGAAGTGTGCATGGAATTATGGGAAGAAACAGTGTGCATTGCCGTGTGATAACTGTCATAAAGGTGATTGATAGGTCATAATTGTTTACAACTCTGGAAGGACAATTTGAATCTACCAGGTGTGCTTGTGATTTGCATAACAAAGGATGTTTATGATCTACTGGCTTGCCTACATAATGTATGTGAGACAGCTTATAGCAAGACCACATTCTGATTGGTTACTGTGGAAACCCAGGTGATGTCCCTGAACCTGGACCATTTATGCCTATAAATAGGCTAGACTGAGGACAGTTGGGTCCATCGTTTCTACTGTGTACCCGTGTGTTGCTTCAGCGATATTGCGAGACAAGTGATACAGGCTTCAACCCTCGTTCTGTGAGACTTGTATGAACTGCTCTATGATCTACTGCTTTTAGCAGAATAACACCGTTCCTCTGCAAGCAAGACCCTGTATTTCTTCGTTGTTGTGTTTCAGAAACCATTGATTGCTGTCAATTTCTACATCGTGGAACTGTGAGTTATCACACTTCCCTAGGCAATCCCTATTTTAATGACTTTATGTATTGCATTTTTCTGTGCTTTGTTTCTGAGAGGTATTAAAACCAGGAGTTTTAACTTGATATTTTGTTGTATGTGTATTTCAATTCCAGTACTATTGTCTTGTCTACCCAATACTAGCAGTGAAAGAACCCTCTGACCAGTGTGAGTTCTGTGGGTGGCCCTCTCAATTGCAATGAAGCAGGCATTACACTGACATTATTCTTTGATTCATTACGGAACAGGGTACATCATAAACTCACCTTTTCTACGTTTGGTATTTCCAGGAAGTATTCAGGATAACTGTACGACATACCAACATTATTAACCAATGTACCAATTTCCAACCCCTTCAGCTCTTTCTCGATCTCTTCATAGATTTCCACACCTTTGGTGAAATCAACTGCTATTACTTTGGTTTTCACTTTATACTGGGTTTCTTTGAATGGAAAAAAAAAATTGCCTGCTAATTTTGAATGAATAGAATGCAATGTCAAACATCGAATTTTTGTGTAGTCCATTATCAAATGTGCACAATTTTGGCGAAGCCCACATTCCCACCAATCACGTTACGAAATGCTGTATTTGACATCCCTTGAATTGTATGATTTGATTGGCTGTGCTAATCAACGTTCCTGTAACAACAACTCAAATCAATTTCAAATTTAAAATAACTGTCATCCAATATCATGTCATAGTTGTATACATACTCTACATGTATATACCGGTGAAATTCACTCCCTCACACCCTTGGCTATTAATTATTGCAGATTTTTCGTTGTCGTCGATACCACAGTGATTTACATCCCAGATTTGGGTTCTTAAGAAGTCCCTAATGAATAACTCTCTGACAAATATTCTAACTGCTGGACTGAATTACTGATATTATTGAAAAAACGTAGAAGATTGGGCAAAAATCAAATATTTGATTGTAGCAATGTTCACTAACATTTTTATAAATTTGATTACATCACTCATGGCTAAAGATGATTCGAAAGTGTTCATTTCGATGTAATGCGAGTACATTTGTGGTACTCAATTTTTACATGTGAAATAATATCGCGTTTGACAGTGAGGGCTGACAGATTGCTCTCAAGATTGTACCGATATCCCCGGAAGATAGTCAACATACAACATTAATGAATAAAATTTACATTACAATCATGCTGGAAACAATATACTGCTATGTGGAAATAACATACTTTTTAAACTGCTATTGTACGAAAGTCATAAAGGGAAATTTACAAGTCCAAGAACAAATAAGTTAATCTGCAAAAAACAATCTACATAGTTAAAGATATATGGACTCCACAAAATAAATGTCAGTGAATACAATATTTGCAAACAAATCCTACAGCCCCTAATATTGCAAAATCATTTATTAGGATTCCTGTATGAAGGTACAAGTATAGGAAAAATGCCTAATTATGACAAGGGAAATCAATGCTTTCTTCAGTCCATGTTATATAATAAATTCTCTTACTAATATTTAATTGGCGAGGTTTATGTATGTACTAAAATATATAAACACACTATAAGCAAAATTATCCACAGTGATTTTTAAATTGTTAAAAATGAGCCAAAAAGCTATGACACTATCTCTTGCCAATTGCCAAGCCAGTTATAAAAGGTCAACAGAACTGACCGCGAAGGAAAACCATCACAAAGTCTCTTTTCTAATACTGGTTTATAATTGGAATATGGTATCCCAAGGTATAATGTTGAGGTGACAGTTAAATTAATATACCTTGGGTGGTGAAGATGGGTGTAGTTAGGAAAAACGTAAATTAGATTCACATAATCCATACAGCATTTGAGTACAAATAATTGTTCTCACTAACTCACCAATCTCTTGTGCTACATTCTGCAACTTCTCAAGTGTGCGGCTAATAAGAACAATATTAATTCCTTTTTCTGCAAGCTGCAAAAACAAATTGTTATAGTAGTAAATGATTGCTTAAAGGGGAACCTCTCAATCCCATGGATTGCACTATGTGCTCATGGGTAAATAACTCCGCCTCTGTCCACTAATTAAATGAATGCTTATTATGCTAGCGTACTCAAACTGTGATTGGCAAGCATTTTGCATACATTAGACGCCATTTTAAACTCACGATTTTTACTTGTCGCGGCAAATTTCGACCGAAAACAACATTTATACATCAAAAGCCCAACCAGATGAGTGTAATCGCTAGCGTACATATTCATGCCCCCGTAAAAATGTATTTGGAATCACAGCTTGATCTCTAAACAACGTAAATGGCACATTTCCCGGAGCTCCCGCCCTGTTGTGAGCGGCTTGTTTCGGATTAGCATACTAATTGCAGTGGCCATCTTCCCCCTTCATGTAATCTGCATGATGAGTTGGAATGTGCATTTGTGGAATGTGCATTTTCACCACCCGGCTTTCTCGTCAACATTTTTTTTGCACTTTTTTTTTTTCCAATATTCTTCAATATTTCTGAAAATGAACCTTAATTTTGGAGCCAACAGACAAAACTTGAGTAATTTTTTTGGTTTTTACTAAAAAAAATTGGCTATTTTTGTCCCAATATTCTGAAGGAAAGTGCAGACTATAAATGGGACTACCAGGGTATTTTATGAAAAGGTTAATCACAATCTATTTTGAATGGGAATAAAAATGTACTTTAAAGGGGAACCGCTCAATCCCATGGATTGCACCAAAGAATCATGGGACACTCACTATTGTTTATGTTGTTTACAATGTTAATCTATCTTTTGTTATCCATTGTTATTTTAATCCAGAAAGTAAATTTGTTGTAAAATTAATCTTAACTGGAAGGTGCCCCTTTAAGAATACTAAATGTAATCACACATACCTGCTGGGCATATGCTTTTCCTATGCCATCTGTAGCACCAGTAATGACTGAATAAATATACAATGAGTAATATATTTAGTGTTATTAGTAGATTTAACACAAACAAGTAATTTTAAAGAATATTAATAAATGTTTTATAAATTTAAAATGCCTTAAGCTGTGAATTGTCCAATGACTGAAAGGACTCGCAAAGACTTGTGGGTAATGAGCACTACCGGTACTAAATGGCTTAGCCAAAGAAAGAGTATTTTTTGGATCTGAATGAAGTGCAAGAGTCTTATGGCATAAATTATAAGATTTTTTTTTTTTTTAAACATTTATGCCTTCCTGCAATAACAATTCCATGTCACTGACAAATCTGTTACTTCATTGTTTTTTAGCAAATTTAAAAAGGAATAACCAAGTTTACATACATTTCTTACTTTCCAAGTATATATATATATATAAATATACACCGGTGTGTGTGTATATATATAGCCCTGTTCATAGCACTGTAATGTACTATACCAGTCATTTAAAAACCTTTGCGTCAATATCTGACTGTACCAAATCACGAAGTGTTAGTGTGATACAGCGAGAAATGAAGCAGAGGCTGGTTGCAAGACATCCCATAATATAATCTTGTGTCATTTGCATTCCAATGGGGTTACTGATACATCCATGTACCTGTTGCCAATGGAGACTGATCTATTATATCTATTTTTGGTCACCTATAGATTATTTACTATGATCTTTCGATTATTGTTTTTGTTCAAATTGACCAATTTTTGGATGACTTACGGCATTTTTAATATTTTTCGACCACGATATTTATTAATATATAGTGAGAAAATTTATAGTAGACTTTTCTGAGAATTTGTCAAACTTTCTCTAAGGTTAAATGGCAGTGTTGGTGTTGACAGTATTCCTTTGTGTGGACGCTTCGTAATTGATATGCTCATGCAACTAAGCGATTAAAGTCATTGAATATTCAGTAGGAAGCTGACATTTTGAGCCAGGTTGCTAGTCTGTTCTTTAGTAGTCTGAATGTAGGTCTGACGTGAGGGCGTGGTTAAAAATCGAATGATATGAATAAATATTCCGAGTCAAGTTATGGGAGAAGAATATTCTATGTTGCATGCATCAGGGGCACGTTGGAGTAATTTCATGCACCACAACTTGGCGTAAACTCCAACCGGCATTTCACCGTTTGACCTATCTTTACCGGCGTTAACAACGTGCGACCTACATGCCCAGAACAATAGACCCCGGCAGTGCCTCGCATTGTCCTTACCTGCCCAAGCGCCTAGTTTTTTTAAGTTCGTTGCTAATCCCAGCGGCCGGGATAACACATACAGCTTTATCCCACGTAGCACCGATAATAGTAGCTTGAGAGAGATGTATCCGACAGTCAGTGCGCCGATGATTGCAAGCGCTTGACTGTTGAATTGACTGATGAAACTTCGCAAGCCTGCCATCTTGGATTCAGGGGTCAGAGGGCCCCCTAACATTATAAGGACTATACTTTCGACCCCCTAGGTAGAAGCTTACTCAGAAATGCATAAATTTCCATAATTTATTATTTTTGTAATATATACAGATATTGAAGTTTCAACTTAATATGGTCAAGTAAAGCGCAAGTCTACTTAGCTTTTCTCAGAAATCGAAAAATCCGGTAAAATCTCGATGAAATATACACACGGTCAAATTCAACAGTCCGTGTCTTACGTAAAAAAAATTAACAAGAATACATTTAAGTATCGTCATTGATAAAGCAGGATTTTCCTTACATACATGCGCTGTTTCAAAACAGTAAAAATCAATCTTGTTGTTGAATTCACTACTCAGGCCGCGGAAGTATAAATAAATGAACTCTCTTATTATCCACTTTCACTTTTTTCAAAAATGAACTATGAATAAACATTTGTCATATTTCAACTGAATTAATATTAATGGATTGTCAATAGCATCTCTGTAATTATTTTGTCGTAACAAGAACAAATGCAGGTGAAGTGAAACTGATACGCCATCGTCTAGCCTACAGCGTTATGAACGTCATGTGTAATTCACGGGTCATTCGCGTGACTGGAAGTGTTAAAAAACACTGTTTTTAATAGTCGGAATAGTGAAAAAATCACAATAACGAAATTGGAAGCAAATGCACTACCGCGTTCAAGTTCGTCTATGTCGAAGATTTCAGGTTATAGTTGTTATAGTAGCATGCTTCAACATCAATCTTTTATTATATATGTTACGTTATTAATTATTAAGTATATTTTATAAATTCCCCCACTATAATGACATCCGAAAGTTTTGGCTACAACTATACAACAATGAAAATAAAGAGCGTCACATGACTGGCTAAATAAAATTTATTCCACTCAATATTTGAATTTAGAAAAAAATTAATAATCAATTTAAACCAAATATTTTAAAAAAAGTAGTTAAACAGAATTACAAGTTAAATTATCCGAGAAAATCATGTTTCAAGGAGTGTATTCTATAAATTCTCCCACTTCCCAGAAGTAACATATAACGATGATACTCCGCAACCACGTACACCCCCCCCCCATGTGCTGTCACGCTACTCCTTTTTCTTGTTTGCATATTTCTTGAGATAATATTTGCGTACATTATTGGCAACTTGCAACTGTGCTTTGTTTTTCAACCATTCTGGAGCTCTTTCAACTGCCCATCCCTAGAAGGAACGACACATGATTATCAAAAACGATGACAGATTAAATGTCCAAGTTTGAATCTCTGCATAACAATAGGGATTAAAATTCGTTGTATACACTTATTTTGCCAGGCATCAAACAAATGATGAATTATATAACACAATGTCAAAAAACACACCGACTCAAGGAGCCTATCAAACAAGCATAGACAATCATTATGATGGAATACAAAACTGGGTTTAAGAACAAAATATGTTCTAAATATAAGAAATTAAAACACGTTTTGAAAGACTGAAAACACAGAAATAGTCTAATTAAAACAATATTCGAAAAAAAATTAAAATCAAATTCCAGGAATGATGACAACGGGTAAAAATCACAAATGTAAACAAAATTAAAAATTAGTGCACATATCCTACAAATGGAAAGGGGAAAATATGTTTAATGAAAATATCTATTTGTAAAAATCAAGACATCGAAGATTCGGCACATTTTCTTTGCACAAACATGAAATAAACAAGGAACCATTCTATGTCTGATTTCATATTTGAATAGAAAAGATAACCACAAACACTTCTCGGAACCCTCAAATTTCTTCTCCAGAAACCGGGAAGAATCTTTGTTAACTCTACGTTAGCAAATATCTATTTATTGCCCACTCCTCATTATATGCATTTTAATTCTTTGACCCCCATCTCGGAATAACTAGAAATTGATTGGAATAGTGATCGAAGAACAGACCACTACTATTATTTTTCCGCGGATGACGTCAAGAACTGGGATAAATGCCAAGAATGGTCAAATAAGAAAACTTACTTTAATGGAATGGCTCATGCATCCATTAGTTCTCTGCTCTAACCCAACTGTAGCCAACGCACTTCTCACATATTGGGTTGGATTGGGAACGAAAAGACTCGTCTTTCGAAATTTACTTAACTTGGTTGTAACAAAGAACGGCAACACCGACTGTGAATAAATAATAACAGGCATAAAATTGTCCCATTTCGCACTTATAAAATCGAATGATAACAATCCTGTGGAATTGTTCTAGGAAAGATGATATCACCGTAAGCAACGACGTGGTAACTGGCTATATTTAGTACAAAGGGCGTACTTACTTGAATAATAATACCCTTAGATCCGTATTCAACCTGCAATCCCCTTGAAAAAAAGTCCATAAATACCTAGACGAATTATAACAGTTAAGTCAAAATGTATTTACGTTAGTGGGAGACATAACAAAGAGCCGAAGGTTATAATACCAACGATAAGTGTAGCCCAGTCACGTTATGTCAACTCTTATGTTTATAAACAATGGCGGAGGAATTCGCGCATGGAGATACAAATGCTTACAACAGCCAACTAGTATAGTCAAATACATCAATATTATAAATACACATGTATGAATGTATATGATACATACCTTGGTGGCGGCGTATATATTGATAAGTGGCGCTGGTTGCATACCGGAAGCGGAAGCTATGTTGATAATAGCACCCTTCCCTCTAAAAACAAATAATATATATCATAGGGACGTTTATGCTGAAATTTTATATGCTACGACTTGGCTTCGAGTGATGCGGTTTCAGATATGATGGAATATAATTACGAGGTATGGTGCGACGAAGTATAACGATGTGATGTACTGTACTGAGCTGTGATGCAGTACGGTGATATGATGATGTGTTGCGATGCGACGAGACGTGTTGTAATGTAATATAAATAATATAGATTACAGGTTATATGGTTTAATACAGTCAGTTATGCACACAGTACAGTAATATATTAACTACTAATTTGCGTCCATTAAATTGCACTCACCTTTCTAGCATGTTGGGTAGAACGATTTTTGTCATCTTAAAAAAGAACACAATGATTCAGTATATAACAGATTATGCAAATACAAATAACCTTCAACAGTAATGGCACAGCCAAATAGATAAATACAAACAGTTGTAAACTTTGTATTCAGATATCAAACCGTAACCGTAACTTACCATCATGCATGATAGAATATTCACATTTAATATGTTCGGGAAAAACTGAGAAAAAAAAACACAAAAAAATCAAAACAGGTTGATTCTGGTTGTCTGTCGGGTACACGTTATTTGGTAATATTGAGCATTGAGCCGCATTAGGAGATGCATTTCCATTAAAACCCATCTAGTTGATCGTTATACAGATCTTGCGAATCGACTATATATGATATATATATATATATATATATATATATATATATATATATATATATATATATATATATATATATATAGTAATCACAAAACTCACCTCTTCAGCTTTGGGAATTTCCAGAAAGAACTTAGGAAAACTATACCCCATTCCAACGTTATTAACCAATGTACCAATTTCGAGTCCTTGCAACGATTTTGATATTCTTGGATATATTTCAGTTCCACCCGTAAAATCCACATCTACCACTTTGGTCTGTACCCTGTACTCAGATTCTTAGCAAAGGCAAATTCAGTGATTAGTATTTCAATTGCACCTGAAATTAATAATCTGTAGGTTTACCCGACGTAATATATGAATGTAATTAATGTTAAAATCACACCTCACACTTCAGAGCATCACAGGATATATGTATAAATTTGTTCAGCCTGGTTTCCGCACTGAAAGGGAACTTTTAGTGGACAGCAGATGGGTAGAGAGGTCCCGAAAATATAACACGTGTTTCCAGAAAACATGCACAATAAATTCTTACCTATTTCATGCGCAACGTTTTTCAGTTTGTCCAAACTTCTGCTGATTAGGACAACGTTAATACCTTTTGCTGCTAACTGTAACCAGGAGATATACAATATATATTGCACAAACGATTCAATATAACAAATACAATATAGTACACGGATTTAAAACGATTTCTACAATATGAAGAACACGCTATGGTTACGGATTTCGCGTGACGGTCCTGTGCGCTGACCGTGTTTACTGACACATTAATACTACTGGACATCACAAGACAATAATGATGATATTTTGAATGCGAAAACAAGATTCTGACTTCCCGAGGCATTTTTTAGTGAGAATGGGAAAGCAGGTTTACGATTATCCTTGGAACAAATTCTCTCGAACAATAATGTAAAAATAGCTTCATGTCTTGTATTTTAAAATACAATGAAAGTTAATTCGAAAAAAAACAACACGAAATAAACAAGCACACAGAACAACAGACACTTACTTCTTTTGCATATGCCTTCCCTATTCCATCAGTGGAACCAGTGACGACTGAATAAAGAAAAGGCGCCTTTGTGAGATGAAACTGATGTACTAGTATATGACGTACAACATGATAGACCGTTGTGTCACGTGGGCAGGTTAAACTACAATCTTCGAGTCGTACATATAAATCATATTGTGGACATCGACCCAAAATCAGAATGCCCAGGATATATTCAGATTGTACAACTAAATAACCCAAGCAAAGACAACGTCGTTGAACAAACTAACAATAACATATGCTAATAAATATTTAGATGTTTATCGTTCAATGTTAATGTTCCATGACTTCTCGTCATTTTCACCAATTCAGGGGTTGTTCATTCATTCCATGTTTGCACATGTTAAACGTTAAGGGCGAACAACCCATAGACGTGACCTTTGAACCAAGAGCGTGATTCATGGCCGCTATTGATTGTATTTACCGAGTTAGTTTTCAAAATGAATGTTCATAATTGTCACGTGTTACCCACAATTCCGGACTAGTTTAACAGTGATTTCTGTCCCGGCTATTGCCATGTAGGTTAATTTCACATACCTGCCCATGCACCCAATTTTTTGAGGTCCGTAGCTAATCCCAGCGGTCTTGATAACACATAAGATTTAAAACCACGCCAAACCGACAATATCAACTTCAGCGAAAACCAAGCTACAGTACAGCCACCAACGGCTGTGAAAACGCGATTGTCTGCATAGCGTAGAAATAATTGAATGGGCAACATTTTAGTCAGATGTTGCACAGGGAACTGTTACCTGTAACATTCAACGCGTTGTCAACCTATACAGTTTAATTTTGAAAATGTATTTTTAGTGACACGTACACTCATCTCCGTAAAGTATGTCAGATTACATTACTAGATACAGGGTTGAAAGGGCAGACCAAAGTTCAGTCTGTGATTCACATACTACCATACTTACCACTGAATTACCATAGAGGGGAGGTAAGGGGGTAGCTGGTACGGTTTTACGGGAAATAAAAAGGGCTTTTCTTACAATTTACAAGGAAAAAAAGACGTTTTTACAGTTTACAATGTTAAAAAATGGTACATTGAATGGTTCAAAGAGCTCTCCGACTCAAATGCTCCGCCATTACTGCGCCGTGTGTAGAGACGCATGCGCATATTACCCTCGTAATGCTCTTCATTCGGTTAGAGGACTTTTTACGTCTTGGACATTCAATTTTGTAGTGAATTGTGTCATCTAGTCGTTTTACAGTTTCTGAAATGTAATTTCCCTGGATTTTTTTTACGATGTTTTTATTTGGATGTAAATTCTTGTACGTACCGAAAAAAATGACACATTTTACAGTGTACGAAAAAAATATTTGATTGATTACGTTGTACGTCTAGCCTGTGATCACAGAATTACGGAATTTATTTTTTCTATTTACGTTGTACGAACAAAAAAATATTGCAATTACGTTGAACGAAAATAACCCTTGCCCCCCCCCCCTCACCATATGTTTACTGTGCGCTAGGGCAAACTGAAGAACGTTACATCATTGTGGTTATATCATTTTAGTACAGGAGCCTATTCCAAAACTGACCTAGAAAATGAGTTCGTTTAACCCGTTTACTAGCAAAGCTTTGACTGTTTTATGTGACAGTACTACCCTTGGGCGATATCACACTGATGGCAGTAAAATTTTTAGGGTGGGAATAAGGTAGCCGCTAGGTATATTATTAAGGGTCGTGGTATTCACAGATATACGATCTCACAGTTTTCCGGCCAGTTTGAATAGTACACTTTTAAATGAAGTTTATTCCTTTATATTAACAATCCAATATAATATATAAATATATCACACATTCAAATGTATAATATTTGCATACTAATTAGCTATTCATAACACGTGAGTGGAGATAGGAAATTCTCTCGTTCATGTCATATAATATTTATTTGGAAAGTATCAAATCAACTTGAAACATTAACTATGTTAAGAATTTAACAAATATACATATAAATAGAATAAAATGACAGTAATAATTTGCATATTTATTCTTTTGTAATGGGATATGAATAACCTCTTTTAGACATGTTTATTTTCAAACTTACCATATAAACTGCTTGGAACTATAAGTACAAATAATGCAAAATCGTACATAAGGCTAATTTAAAGGTAATGATACAATTTGCAGACTAATTAGAGGAAGCTTAAGTAAACATTCACTCTTTCTTAGACATAATTTATATATTACATTATAGCATGTACATTTTCTTAAGTAAAATGTTTACGTTAAATTTGTTAATATAAGGGTGATTTGGACAATTGGAAAACAAATATTTTTGTATTCTTCAAAATTTCTCAATAATTCGGGACAACCATGATTGTTGCATCATACTTTTTTTTTTAGATATGACGAGATGTTTTTCCATAGAAACCAGCGGCAAACAATCGCTATTTTTATGGATGTTTGATATATTTATTATTAAAAAGTAGTTCGGTACCAATATTTTTTCAACCGTGCAGCCTAAAATAAAGTCAAAAGTTAAATGGACATATGGCAGAGTTATATGGAAGTGTACTTTTCTCAGAACTCAAATAAAACAGAAAAATGTCGATGAACTTTACTCATGGTCAAATTCAACGATCTGTGTCTCATGTAACAAACGTAACAAGCAGAGTTTCGAGAGATTGTCATTGATATATCATGATTTGTCTTCTCTTGCAATTCACTGGTCATTCGCATGACTTGAAGTGTTGAAAAGTTTTCACAGTCGGGATAGTGAAAAAATCATTGGTATGGCGTATGTACTACCGCATTCACTTATAATTAAGCTTTCAGGAGATGCGTAGGTTGTTATAGCAGCTTACTTCCAACAAAATAACAGCTATTTTTAAGTATGCCATAGTTACATATGATCAACATTTATTATAAATTGAATTATCCGACAAAATGTATATTCTATCAATACCCCCCATTTCCCAGAACTAATATATAATAATGATGATTCACAACCACCATCACCATATACTCCCGTCTATGTGTGTTCTGTATACAAGTTCACACTATTTCTTATTTTTGTTTGCATATTTCTTGAGATAATATTTGCGTACATTATTGGAAATGTGCATCCGTGCTTTGTTTTTCAGCCACTCCGGAGTTTTCTCTACTGCCCATCCCTAGAATAAACGACACATCATTATTATCAAAATCGATGACAGATTAAATTGTCTTTTCAAACTCCTTACAAAACAACCAGGTTAATTAGTTATACGTCAGCCAAATCGATGGATTGCTTCAAATCATATAAATACCTTGGCCCATGGGAATTTGCGATGCACTATTTTACAATGGCGGGTACTGTCTCACAAAGAACCGTGGGAGAGAAAAGATAACCAAAAAGACATCTTGACACCCACAATTTCTTCCCAGGAAACCCGGAAGATTTGTGGTTGACTCTAGTTCAGTAAACTATTTATGTGCATTTTAATTTAACCCCATCTCGGAATGATTAGAAATGTCTTGTAATAGTGGTTAAGGACTATACCACTTTCAGTTTTCCGCAGATGAAGTCATGGACCTGGACAAGTGCCAGGACTGGTCAAATAAGAAAACTTACTTCGATGGAATGGCTCATACATCCATTAGTCCTCTGCTCTAACCCAACTGTAGCTAACGCACTTCTCACATATTGGGTTGGATTTAGAACGAACAAACTCGTGTTTCTGATTCTACTTAACTTGGTTGTAACAAAGAACGGCAACACCGACTGTGAATAAATAATAGCAGGCATAAAATTGTCCCATTTCTCACGTATAAAATCGGATGATAACAACCCTGTGGAATTATTCTAAGAAATATGATATCACCCTAGGCAACTACTTGATAACTGGCTATATTTAGTACAAAGGGCATACTTACTTGAATAATAATACCCTTAGATCCGTATTCAACCTGCAATCCCCTTGAAAAAAAATCCATAAATACCTAGACGAAATATAACAGAGAAATTCAAAATACATTTAAGTTAATGAGAAGGCATATGAAACATAACAAAGCTGCAATGACTATATACGGCTAATTATAGGTGAAGTCCAATTACGTGATGTATCGATAAATACGCCTGTCCAGTAAAACAAAACACATAACTCTCATCGAAAACGCGATAATATTCACTAAACAATGGTTAGAAGGGAGAGCGGGATGGGGTGGTCACACTAGTATAGCTATATCACCAGCATAAATACTCATATATAGGTGCATTATCACATACCTTGGTGGCGGCGTATATATTGATAAGTGGCGCTGGTTGCATACCAGAACAGGAAGATATGTTTATAACAGCGCCCTTCCCTCTAAAAACAAACAACGTGTATATATTATAAAATCTGATATGTGATATTCTAGGATGAAGCGGTGAGTGGTACGATTCTATATTTGATGGGGGTGTGAGAACAAGGTATGATGCGGGTCAGTAGAATGATGTGGTTTGGGTGGCTGTGATACAGTACCGTGGGATGATGTTTTGATATGGTGCGGTGTGAGGATCACGGTGATGTGTTGCGGTATGATGTAATGTGACTCGATGTATATATTGTAATGTAATACAATATATGTTATGAGATATAACACAATGCACGCAGCAATATATTAACCACTATTTTGCGTCGTATTAAATCGCACACACCTTTCTAACATGTTGGGTAGGGAGATTTTTGTCATCTAAAATAAAAACAAAACGTTTTAGTATAACTGATTATGCAATTACAAATATTTGAGTAACCGCCACCAGTAATGAAACTGCCCAATAAGTAAATAAATACGAACAGTTGTAAACTTTGTATTCAGATATCAAATAGTGATCAAAACTTACCATCATGCATGACAGAATATTCACATTCAACATGTTCGGCAGAAACTAAAATAAATAAAAACATGTCGACAACTATGATCAATTACGGAACATATTAAATGAAAACATTCTGGTTGATTTTGGTTGTCTATAAACAATATATGAGTAAAGCCTCATTGGGAGATGCCTGTTGAAGACAAACTCTTATTAAACACAATTTACTATTGACGAATGCTACATTGCGGAACTATTCGCTATATGTCCCGTTTTCGAGTTTGATTCGTTTTCCCAAGTGCATTTGTTTTCATAAATTGTATTAGGAGTTTTATTCCATAAATGTAGTTGGACTTATATGTTTTTGTTCACTTATAAATCGTCCGGAACTTGTGTTCAACGTTATATGATATCAGGACTTGTATAGCATATTCCATATAAAATTAATGGAATGGTCCTCACTCCCATCATCACTGAAGGTCTTCAATAGTATGAAAAATTCCGTAAAATATATATCTGAATGATTTGGGCGGTGGGTTTTAAGTTGGATAAAAACCTCCTACTCGGACTTTATTGGGATATAAAATCTATCCGCGAAAAAAAATTCCGGAAATTTT